GCTCTCTCTTTATAGTGATATTTGTGTATATATATATATATACACATACATATATATAATGTTGTGTATATTCCCAGAAAAGACGTTGTACTCTAACAAAATAAATCTATAGTGCTCACATTTGATTAGCAAGAAAATTTGAGTACATGGGATTCAAATTGGTCCAAATTCAATTCCTGCTTTAAAAAAGCATGACCACAGTAGAAGTTGGTTGTCTCTTGGCTTCAAGATAATTATATTTTCTATTTCCCTGAGACAGCTTAGTGGGGCAAAAGAGCATGGTGTTAAGAGTCAGAAACCCAGGGTCATGTCTTATCTCAGTCATGAACTGGCTGTTCAACCGGGACACCTTAGTGACTCTTAAGTACCAGCTTATATTCTGAGGACTAAAGAGTAGAATTTAGATATATTAGATGATTTTTAAAGTTTCTCTTTTTGATTCGAATAGGTGATCAATACCAAAAGTTCTTAATCTTTGAGCTCACTCCAAGATTATGTCCTCATAAATTAATAGTTCTCAACTTTGGTTGCACCTTACAATCATACGGGGAGCCTTAAGAGAATCCCAGTTCCAGGCCATACCTCACACCAGTTAAATCAGAGCCTTTTGAAGAAAGACCCAGGTATCCATATTTTTTAAACTCCCAGGTGGTTACAATATGCAATCAACATTAAGAACTCCTGCTTTGGGTACAAGGCAGGGAGAGGAACTGAAATAATATGAATGCTTCATTATGAGCACAGGAATTGTGTCCATCTTGTTACTTCCTGTATCCTCAGGACCTAACAAAATGTCTGGGACATAGTAGGTGCTCAGGAAATGATCAACATTTTTAGTGCACTTTGGCCAATTCCTAAAAGAAATAGGGCTTATCAAATCTGGTAGCTACTTTGATCATTATCATTTTGATCTTATTCACTGAAGAGTGACTCAATTCTCTACTATTAGTTGCCAGTGTAAACAATAAAGGAAAGTGAATGAATGGGTAATCCCATTGCACTGATACAATTCAACTATCCTTGAGATGAAAGTGAGGAAATTATCTATCACCACATCCTCCAGAGAAAAGGCCCTTGGGAATCTAAAGATGTGTCTCTTACATGACTCCACACATCTAGATGAAAATGAATAAAATGAAATGCCTAAGAATCCAGATGTGTCATTCATTCATTCGGCAGTTAATTATGAAGTACTTACATTGCACACACTATGACAGCCCGTCATAGACTTTCTCAGTGAGGGTTTTATACTAGAATTAAACCTCTCTATCCTGGGCATCTTACCATGCAATGAATTAATTTCCTTCCTATGCATATAGTATAGTTTTTGTTATATATCATCCTTGGGAAAATTGAAAAAAAAATAGCCACTCACTTAATGTTTTTGCTCTGTGGTTCAGATGACAAATTCCAGTTTAAAAAGGCTGCAAGTCTAGGGGATGAAATGACAAACAAACATAATACTTGCCTTTCAGAACAGTATTATCCAATAGAACTTTATCGATGATAGAATTGTTCTATATTTGTGCTGTTCAACAGGGTGGCCACTAGTCACATCTGACTACTGAGCACTTGAGAGATGGCCAGTGCAATTGAGGAACCGAATTTTTAATTTTCTTCAATATTAGTGAATTTAAATTGCAGTAGCCGCCTCTGGCAAGTGGCTCCCCTATCCATTAAGGCAGGTCTAGAATTTCACATTCAAATGGAGGAGATTGGCATATAAATTATCATAATCTGGATGATAAGTGCTAATATGAAGTAAGCACAGAAGGCTAGGAAAGCTCCTACGTGAAGAAGCCCGTCCTAGGTAGAGGTAGTGATGAACTGGGGTGGAAATTTCCAAGAGGAAGTGACTTCCAGAATGAGACCTGAAGGACAAGAGATGCGTCTGGAAGGGTAGTGGCAAGAGTACTAAGCAGAAGGTTTCGGTGTGTGAGAAAGCCCAGAAGGTAAAGAGAACATTAAGAAATGGCAAAGAGGTATGGCAAGAACCTAGGAAAGCAGTGGCAGACGGGCACCTGAGGAGTCCAGACAGGAATGTTGGGGCCAGGATCCAGGATATGAAGGGCTTTAGGTGTCACAATATTCCAAGGTCAATGGAAAGCTGGTGAAAAGTTTGAAACTGTGGAATGATATGATCATGTCTGTGGTTTAGAGAGATTTCCCCGGCTGCTGGCTGGCAGTGTGGAGGGAAAAACTAGAGGCATGACTCAGTAGTCCAGGTGAGAAATGAGGGCTGTCTTAACAGTCGCACACAAGATGAAGAGAAGCAGACGTATTTGCAAACAGAAGAGAAAAATCTAATTGATTGTCCTGATTGGCCATGACAGGTGGAAGGAGAAAAGACAACGACCACACCTTGTTTTCTGACCTGGGTAGATGATAGTGCTGTTTATTGAAGGGCCAATATAGGATTGTAGAAATGGTCTCTAAATTTAAGTTTTTCCCATCACATCAGATCAACTGCTCCTCGTGGATCCTGAAATTAGCTTTGATATACACTAGGGAAGACAAACAAATTAGGAGAGCATACTCTTCCAAGAAATCAACACAGGTTCACAGTTGATACAACATTGCTTTTATTGGGGATTCAAGGGACATATGACAGTCTCATAAAATGTCAACAAAGTCACATTTTGTGCTTGGCTACTCTTTAAAAAAAAAAAAAACAACCCTGTTTTTTTATGAACTCACTTAATGAGAACTGTGTGAGATGTGGCCAAATAATAATCATTTTGAAAACAGGACGACCCGAGCCACAAGGAGGTCTATGTCGGACAATGCCAGATTTTTATGTGGAAATTTACAACAGTCAAATATTCAGGTACTTCCAAACGTCTAGATGTTTGTCCTTAAGTAGACCCAGCTTAACTGACTTCTTCAAGATGGAATTGCCTACTGAACCTCTGTGTGATCTAGCTGACCACTTTATTAATCATCACTAAATGCTAACTAAATGCAAAGGAGCTGGTAAAGAAGAGTGAGATTTCCTCAATTCTAGCTTTTTAGGGCTGAAGTATTCTTGAGGTAGTTGCATGGATAAGTGAGGATTAAAATAGCAAATAACCATTGATATTTTCAAAAACATAAGGACTATTGAAACAGTCATGTATAAATATTCATGCAGAAGCACTTACAAATACATACTGTGCATAAAATTGGGTAAGAAAATGCTCATTAGAAGATCTGGTTTATTTAGGTGAGCTAAGAATTCCAAATAAGGATATCATTGAAGACATTATACACATAACTTGAGCCATTATGTGTTCTCTGGGGATGGATCATTGACAATTGCTGCATCAAAAGATGTTAGTTCATAACTGGCTATTTTTCACATTGAGGTGGGAAGCCAAAGAGGAGCAAAATTGAAATAATCTACTAGGTGTGGTGCTCCCTAATCACCCAGAGAGAATGCTTCCCTTGATCAAATTCAAGTTCATCCTTCATTTAGGCAGGGTGGAGTAGTTTAAGAGCCTCTGAGAGGAGACTGGGCAGCCTAGTGTCTGGACCTAGCTCTGCCAAATGCAAATGTGTGATCTTCTGTAAGTTGCTCTAACTTTGATTCGTCATCTGTAGAAAAGCACATTACAACAGATGAGCTTTAAGTGCCCCCTCTCTTTTTAATTCTCAAAAATTTGAGATTTCATGCAGAACACAGTGAACAATTTCCTCAACGTCTGGCAAAAAAACAATAAAAACCAAAACGAAAGCCTAACATGCTGATAAGCTCTATTTCCCAATTCTTTCAATTTTCTATCATGAAAATTCTTTCCATCATTCTAACGTGATTTGAGCAGAAAACTGAAAAAATTGAGGGGATAACTGAATGACATAGCTATTTGTTTACTGTAAAAAACTATCAAGGAATATTCAAGTGGTAATATTGCTACATTGATCACAATATTGTGACTTAGTGCTTTAGATCATGAACTTTGTAATCACAGTTCTGAATGTGAACCCTGTATATGGCAGTTTGGCAAGTTACTTGACCTCATTAAACCTTATCTTTAAAACAGGGATAATAATACCATTATGCGGGTTGTTCTGAGTTGCAGGCTTAAGTGAGTTCCTATGTAAAATGCTTAACATACAGTAAGAACTCAATAAATACCAATTACTAAGTTAACAGAAAAAAATCATAAGTTCTCATATTACCACCAATCACTGTCACTTGCTTTAATGGCAAAGAAATACGATGATAATTCTAGGTGACACCCAGGGTGAGAGAAGGGAAGTGTGTGTGTGAAGTCCTTACCGTATATGTATATATACACTGGTACTGAATGTCAACTAGACATGCATATTCATAATTCCCTAAATTCACCACTTAGATTCCTTCCTCCATGGTTTTGCTCACAATACTGCATTCATTTAAAGGACTCTATTTTCTCTTTCCTTTCCTTTTATCTAAATCTTTAATATTCTTTTTTTTTTTTTAAGTAGGCTCCATGCCCAATGTGGGACTTAAACTCACAACCCTGAGATCAAGAGTCTCACGCTCTACCAACTGAGCCAGCCAGGTGCCCCTAAATCTTTAACATTCTTTAAGATTCATCTTGTATTTTCCTCCTTTAGGAACTTTCTTCCCTAAACAGACTAGTTTTGCCCAGATAATGGTGACCGCCTCTGAGCTCTTTGTTTATATCTTCTGTTCTGTTGTGGTCTTAACATCTATAGACCTGAGTTGTTGCTATCTTTTCAAAAGTTTATGTATCTCTGAAGAACTAGATTTACACTCCTTAGAGGCAGTGACCATGTCTTACAGAACCTAGCTTGCTTGATTAAAAGAATAGTTCATTGTTTGGTGTCAGGTGGGATCCTGTGGTATTTCTCAGCTGCCTTATGAGTTTCCACCATTATTTAGCCTTTGGATTGCCTCTGACTACCTTGTTATTTCAAAAGTACTTTATATTCCTTTAGGTCACTCTTCAGATCAAACCGTGTGTGGCTAAAAATCAACCTACTTATAGCATTAATTTTGTTCCTTAAAACATGAACACATTTGTGTGATTTTCTATTTTAAAAATTGGTGCATTAATAAGCATATCCATACCAGGGAAATATTTTAGAAATGAATGTCACACTGAATTAAAATACAAACAGAGGAATACACACGAGGAAGGGAAAGTCCTTGGCTCTTTAGAAATCTAGATGTCACTGTGAAGTTTTTTCTGTTTCTTGAAAAGATTGCCTCGTGTTCTGGGAGTTCTATTTCCTGAAATTGCACCATTTGGGGGTGCTGCTTAGCAGGAGAGGTGTCTTCAGGTGATCACTTCCTTTGTTTCAACTTCACAGTTGGCTTGAGCGTCCCTCAGTGCAGCTGTGTCCAGTGCCGTTTATCTCTTTTCACTGGGGAGACCTTCCTGAGGAGGGGGGCTATAGGACCAGCTGAAAGGAACATCAACACAACTAAAAAAATAACAGAACATGTCACAGAAAGTTATCACATTGACTCTTTGATAGAAATAAGTAAACATAAGGATACTCTGGGGGCCATGCTATTTCTAAGTACACATGAAATGCTGCATCACCACAAAGATGTAATGCTCTCTCACTGTTCACTTCGCTGGAGAATCAGTCAAGGAACAGCGCTGCTTGAGTGTGTGAGCACCCCACGCTAATCACTCTGGGAGAAAATGCTCCGTAAGAAAAGCTTCAGGTTTATCCAACAGGCAACTTACTGAAATAGGACACGGAGGAAAACAACAGAAGAACACATGACATTAAGGACAAATTCAAAGAAATCTAAAGACTAAAGGCAAAATAAAATGACTGTGGAGACAGAAGTGCTTAGCAACACAGAGGCGAACGAAGTCACTGGACTTGTTAGGAGTTAATGTCAGTTCCTCGTATTTGTCTTTGTATTTCTAGTACCTGGCTCAGAGCATGACACATTGTGCCCAGTGGAAGAAAGACGGAAAGGAAGAACAAAAGGGAGGGAGGAAGGGAGAAAAGGAAGAAGGAAGGAAGGAAGGAAAGAAAGAAGAAGGGAGGGAGGGAGGGAGGGAGACAGAATGGAGGTGGAAGGAGGGAGAGAAAGAAAGAGGGAAGAGAAAGGTTTCTGAAATGTACAAGTGGCAGAGAGACAGAGTGTGCAGGGAGGAAAGCAGGGTGCTAAAAGACTTGGGAGCCAGGAAGAGCAGGTTTGCTTAATTCAAGAAGAGATTATACACTCGGAGTGGCTTTAGAAAATAGGGCAGGGGCGATTTTCAGGAGGTTTCGAACATGTTAAGATTTAATTTGGGAAGCGTGGTGTGTTAATGTGACTATTGTGGGTTTTGAAGGGAATATTAACATGATTCAGATGAATCGGATGGAAAGGAAAACGTGAAACTCAAAGGCGTCAACCCAATGGGGTAAAACAAAACCAAGCTGCAAGAAATTAAATGAAGGCAGAAGGACCAAAGAATATGGTCTTAAAATAGAAAGGCAGGTGCTTGTCTGGGTTCCTTCTGTGTTAATGCTGAAGGACATGGGCTTAGAAGTCAGATCAAGAATTTCCTTCTCCCACTGTGTAGCTTTTTTCATTCTTCAGCTGTTCCTCTTTTTTGTCACTGCCCTTCCTGAAAATGAACTTCAGCCCTTACTGTTTTAGCAGCAAGGCAAAATATATTAGTAAATAAAGCACCTGGAGGTGGAATCAAATATAACTTTAAAACCAACAACTGTTGGTACAAACGGACTTCGGATTCAAGGGCCCTGGAGTTGTTCTTCTATTTCTGTATTTTAGAGTAGCTTCGAAAATTCTTAAAGCTGTAAAAACATTTAGAGACCAACTAATCCAACCCACTCATTGCGCAGATAAGGATATTTGGGGAGAGCTGTATTAATGTTTCTTTTATTCTACGAAAGTTGTTATGAATGAAATATACTTTGCAGGTGGATTTTAATTTAACTAAAGCCTTTATTGTCAGCCTCTTCATTATGCCAGCACAATGAAGATGCAGAATGAGTTAGGCACAGCAAAAGGGATATACTACCCCATATCACTGATTTACTGCCACAGATCTGCCCTAAACTCTGGATACATTGAAGATGGGTCTCTAGATGGCAGGTATATTTGTTTTCTAAAACCGAATAAATAACCCAGTGTTACATATTGTTAACAGGTATTTTTCTGTTCTGATCAAGCATACAACAACTGATCCTGGATGAGAAATTAAAAATGTATCTTACAGATTTTAGAACTCAGTATTTTGTGAACAGGGTTTGGGAAGGTGGGGTGCTAAGCTCTTGATACACATGTGTATCTTGATACTCATTTGTGAATAAATGAAAATGTTACTGGAGTAAGGAAGTACACTGCGCACAATTTTTGGGTGACTCCTTTGGGTAGCATAATAATGGAAAGTCCTTGTATACATGAGCAAATGAAAAGTAAAACAATGCATTGCTTTGGTGTTGTATGGATACAGTCCATGCAAAATGCCCCCTTTATAACATGGGCCCCATCATTAAAATGAATTTTGCAGAGTAAATAGTATGAAAATATGAACCACCGTATTTTGGTGTCTATTATGAGTCAAATGTTTAACAAATCAGCCTTCTTTGGGGCCTCTGCCTACTTAATTGGAATGAGTAATATCTTGTATCATCTCAACGTGAGCCTCCCTTGGAATCCTTTTTGTCTCCCAAACATAGAAGCATAAATTGGGACCCTTGAGTAGCCTTGCTCAGGGTCCCTCTGTGATCTGATGGTAATGATTCTCCAAATTTGCATCAGAGCATCTTCACCTACTGAGCATATAGCAAGTGCCAAGCACCAGGCTGACCAATCAACTCACTGTTTCACTGCCTGGGTTTTTCCTTAATAGCTAGATCTTTGGGGGCTAGCTCCTTGGTGGGGAGGGGGTCTTCAGTCCAATGGAATACCATGTCGAGACACCAAAAGGGAAGTTGATGTTAGTGTGTAAATGAGCTAAGGCAGAGTTTCAGTGATTCAGCATGCGCCATGCAAAATGGAGGAAAAATAGAAAATAAGTTGTTTATTACTGTTATGATTTTGGTTACTTTGATTAAATTAAAATGATCTCTGCCTAAAACCATTTCCCTGGCATTTTATCTCATCCCAGTAAAGGAAATGGATTTCTTATGAATAAGATTTACTATTCTAATATTCTCCATTACTTCACAAATTGTCCAAAGTCTAGATGAAGACTAAATCAGTCAAGAGCAGGCAATATTTTACAACTAATTCAAGTGTCCACAATGACAACCCTCTTAGAGATCATTACTTTCCAATATCTGGGTCACACACATTCATTCATTCTTGCACGAGAACACAGACCATAGAGCCCTTGTCTTCTTATAATAATTAGCAAGGACTTTTTTTGAAAGCTGATTTTAAGAACATTCTACTCAGGAGCCATTTCAAATGATGAGAAATGCCCATGAAAAAAAAAAACCTCAAGTAGGCAACATGTAAAGCAACACACAACTATATGCACATTAGTATAATTATACATTGCAAATTATATCGGATGCATCTAATATCTAATTTTTTGAAAGCTGATTCCACTTGAGATTTCAATAACAGCATCAACATTTTGCAGGTGGCTCCTTCTGTATAGTATCCAGAGGGAATTATTCCTCTAATGTGCTTACAACCCTCAAGTAAAAGCCGAAACTCTCCCTGAAAGGACCAATGAACAATGAAACTAGGACTATTACCTTAATAGATTAAGCAAGGGAGGGGGGCGATTCCACCAAATATAATATTCAGCATGGTTATTTATCCTATCTATGCCTTCTGTGCATACGATCCTTATTTGCTTCAAGCAAGAAGAAGCAAACTTAAACACGACCCTCATTAGAAATTGTGTGTGGGGGGGTTCATACATATATTCTGAGGCAATGATATGAAAAGCGAAGGGGTTGACGAATTTTTAGAACACCAGATAAATGAGAAATGTGCAACCGAACGGAGGATTACACCTTTGACTGAAAACAGAGAGCCCTACATTAAATTCTGCTCTTCTAGAACACAGGATTAATTTGTCCTAAAGAGGATGCCAGATCAAAGCTCCATTTTGAGGAACAGTCTTTTGTCCTCATTTTCTGTATGAATCAATCAATTATCAAATAACCAAATATGTATTTGTGATCTTGGAGAATGGAGCATATTATTCAAGTTGATTGGATCCATTTTCTTGATTCCTCCTTAAAGATCTTTCTGCTAATTAGTCAGGGTTACTATTGAATTATTTAATTATCTGCACTTTTGTGCAAAGAAATATGTTGTCATATCACATACTTCATCATGCTGTTGCTGTTCACACTTAATGATGTCTCTATAGTTAGCAGTTTCCTTTGTTCTGCTCAGTAAGTGGTTTTAGAAAGGGGGTGGGCCGGAAAGGAGGAGCCTTGGGGTTTGTAAAATAAAATCATACATTCCTGGGGCACATGCAAAACTTTATGCATTTACATGAATCTCTTTTTAGAAATTAAGTTGCAAATCCATTTGGAATAAGCTAAGAGGCACATGTCGGTGACTTCGAAGGCAGCCAGAACGATATTACTATACCTTGGACATCTCTCCAGTGCATTTCCACTGCGGTGCAATGGGAAAGCGATTTAATTTTTTTTTTTTTTTTTTAATCAGCAAGGAATGTCTTTAACAAGGAAGAAGTAAATTATGATAATTACTCTGAATGGTCGGATCCTTGAGCATTACTAATTAGCATTTATTGCCTGGATTATAGAACAATACATGTGAAACCGAACTGCGATTGCTCTTTTATGTTGAAGAACTGAAAAAGGCAATGGAGCAAAAAAGGCAGTATCATCAGGACTGTAGTCTGGTAGTTTCCATCTCCTTGAGACTGGGCAGAATTCCGCACTTACGAAATTCACAAATGTGGCCCTCAATATTTCTGGCCCATTCATTTTTTGTGTTGGGCACATATTTACATGATATCATAGTCATGAGAGACTCATGAGAGGAGTAACATTTTGGCTATGATGTCATTTGGGGACAGTTTTACCCATTGTGAGAGTTTAACAATAAAGGGCACGAAACCCGCCGTTTCAGAAAATATACATTTTTCTGTAGAAATTTTGACTTAAAAAAATGAAACAAAGAACTCAGTTCTTAGTGAATAAAATTTTACATTCACCTCCCCACTTTCTCTTAGGCGGACCACAGTTGCAAATAATTGAGAAGAAGCAATTGGCATGTGGCGTGAGAGCCTTTTTTTTTTTTTTTGCATCAGTAATTTGTAATAAAATAGATTCTGAAATTAGAAATAAATGAGATATTAATCAACGGGCAACATCAGTCATGTAAATAAAGGCCACTCAAATAATTTGGCAACGGAAATGGCCAAATAACCCGGTAGGTAGAAGAGAAAGAGAGGAAAATTAACCATCCATCACCCCCCCGCAGTCTCACGGGTTCCTCCACACCCCACTACAGCAAATGAAGAGAAAAGGACATGGTAAAATATAAAGCCAGTGCTAAATACAGTCGCTAGTCTTCCCAATACCTTCCATGGATTCCCTCCCCTGATCCTTTTTAGTATGAAAGAATAAGTTTGACTAAATCTGTGAGGAGATTAAACAGGCTGGTGATAAAAATTAATTCTGCTGAATGAGCAAATGCATTTGGATGGCAGAGATGCAAATAAGATAATACTTTTCTTTTCCTTTGACATACCAAGCGGATTAGTTTAGAATGTTAAATTTGATTTTATTAGAATATATTAGCAGTGTTTTAATTAATACCAATCAAACATTTTCTTTCCCTGGGGCTTGATGTGTTCCTAACGCTTTCTAAATCATCTGTTATTTCTCCATCAAAAACCACCCCCCCACACCAAATTACCAAAGCCTTTTGTTACGTTCTTCATCATTTTACTGTATTCGACAGAAAACTGTTTACCTAAAGGTGTCTTGCCCATAAAATTAGCTCCCAGGTGCTGGATTTAAAATGAGTACTGTTCATTAGTACAGTTGGTTTTTTTTTTTTAAAAGGTAGAATTAGAGACTCAAAAATAAACATCTTCTGTGTTTTTCTTTTGGGGAAAAATGTTGCAAAAGGAGTTTTGGCTGGTTCGTATTACTTGGCTTTCTTCTCAGTAGAGCTTCCTAGAGCTGTTAAATTTCCAACTGCATTGGTTTTGAGCTGGCACTTCTTTGGAAACAGAGGCAAAAAAAAAAGGAATTAAAAAAAAGGAGGAGGGGGAGAATCTAGTTAAAAATATGGTGAACCAGTATGCCCTGTGAACTGAATTGTAACTGTGTATTCCAAGGAGGTGCTGCATTGCATTGCACTCATTATACGCTCCTTTTCTCTCAAGCTTCCTGTCCTTCTGTGTCCGAAAGCTCCAGTTCACGTCTTTTTCTTTTCTTCCCGCAACGCAAACTGCCCCCCCTCAATTCCCCGCCTTATTTTTTTTTTTTTTATCTGCCAAGCTGGATTTGCACTTTTAAAGATCAGTATCAATAATGCCCTGCTTGTTTCGGTTGCGCTCCCCCTTTAAAAGACAGCTCTCTCTAATTGATGCGTCTGGGCTAGTCTAGACTGGTAGTGATTGAACCAACCACCAATTATGTTATTCATTTCACTGAACTTCGCTGATGGGCTTGGTGAGGAAGAAGGGGTGTTGAGAAACCTGCCCTTATACTGGAGCAGTCCCCTGCTGAAATACAAAATCCTGTGTGTCGTTGTGCACTCCTAAATGCCCGTGTGATCAGTTGCAATAGCAACCTCAGCGCATGAACAATCCACTCGAACACACGTAAAAAACCAAAAGAGTGCCTTGGAATACAAACTGTATCACTTGTATTAAATTACTATCCTGTTACCCTTTAAAATCACAGAAGAATGATATCCAGCATGTTTTTATTGGCCCATGCATACATTTTCATAGAATTAACTGCAGATATATTGTGACTTAGTAAAACACCAAATGTTTTGCAAATATTTGATACGAATCATGTGGTACTATATATCCATAAGTTAAATAGATCCCTTTCCATAATTTCCAAATACCTATGCACACACGTCTGCTAAGCTGGGGAAAAATCATTAATCCATTGTGCAGAAACCAAAGGATGACTTGAAAATCAAGTAACTCTTTTCTCTGAAGCATATTCAGGCTACCAAAGGCTGGAAAGTAATATTTAAATAGTACAACTACACAAGAGGTCTCAACAAAAGACATGGTGCACGGTTCATTTTCTCGATTCAGTTTTCTGATACAAAATGGTTTCTTGACTACGATTTGGAGTCAATGACTGAAATTGCAATAAACACTTAAAAAAAAAAAACACAGGAAAAGAACAGTTTCCTTAACCTTTGACTACACGTATAAAATAAGGTTACAGCCAATATAGAGTCTTTAAAAGAAGAAAGCATTTGAAGTCGGGACTGATTTAGGTATTTTCTAAAAATAGAAGATAAATGTTGGCCCAAGGAGAAAACTGTTTAAATAAAATTGTATATTGGAATTTTTCACAACAAAGGAAAGGTAAGTTACTGTTTCTCTTCAACTATGAGATAGATCTGAATCACTAAAATTATTCTGTCATGAAAAGTTACGTTTTCAGAAAACTGCAAACTAGGTAAACAATTATCTTAAGAGAAGATTATTTTCAATGTACAGTTTGGTGTTATAAATAACTTTGTTAGATTGAATTTAAATCCTGATAAATTTTTTCCAACCTTTAAATGAAGAATAATGGGCATTGATTACTCCCCAAAGATACAACAATTGCATGTGTGTGTGCTGTTGTTATTTCTTTCCATTCATGTATTTAGAAAATATATTTCTAATCCCTATTATTTTTAAACTCCCGGTTTATAACATTTTAAAACAGATGCCCAGCAAGAAGGCTACATTGCTCCTCTTATTTTTTTAAATCTTGCAAAGTAATACAAATTGAATCTTTATGAACACCGTAAATTTCATCCTCCATGTAGAATAGCAAGAGTAGAATTTTTAGCCTGTTAATATTTTAGCCCAAACTATTGGTTTGCCCCCATCCGTGTCTGCGTGTTCACTGCCTAGCCATATATGATGCATACATGTGAGTACTGAATGTATAACATGTCCACATGCCCATTTTAATTGGACACAATTTTAAGATTAACTGTTGAGTTTAAAAGTTGGAGGCACGATGCATGCTGGGACTTCAGCTGATATGTTCTGAGGTCAAGCACCAGGTACTGAGCTGTTCTTGTTACGCTCGGATAGTACTGCGTGTTGCTCTCAAGAAATAGACCATGGTAGATGAGTTCCACAAGCCTCAGGCACCAGTAATACACACACACACACACACACACACACACACACAAAACAGCCAACACGCTCTTATAACAGAATATATACCTACTTTAACAGAAATCCAGGAGCTGCCACTTTCTGGTCACCTGACCCCATCTAACAATGAAAACCTCAGAGGTGCACTCAATCACTTCAGACAAACTTTTTTTTTTTGTTTTTGCTTTAAAGAAAAAAGTTCCACCAAATTTCCAGGATGCCAAGGCACGACTCGCAGCTCCCAAGAGCCTAACCCGTGGATTTAAACGGTAAACATCACAAGTTAGGGTCTCAGGGATTGAGAGGAGTGCAACAAATTGTTCTTTCTTGAGACAAAGCAAAGCAAAACAAGAATGACAGGCAATTTCTGTTCCAGGTTCATGACTAAAAGGCAACAAACAGGTGGCAGGGTATTCCCTCACTCTCGAAGCTTCCTTAGGTCACAAAATTTAGATTCCACATAAATATAATCTATTCAAACACACACATAGGCAGGATCTGTGGATAGGTATACATACCTGAACACACAATCGCGTGTATATCAGAGAAAACTCTTTGAAGCTTTGGGCAAAACCGTTTTACTAAAATGAAAAATAATATGCGTAGACCCAGAAACGCTGCCGTTTTTAAAACCATGGTCTAAAACAAGGATTAAATGCCCTTTCAAAGCTTGAACTTAGAGCTAGCACAGCTGATGGTGAGGAAAATACGAGGCATCTCTTTCCCCCTGGGCAAGCATGCCGCATGCAAAATCACAGAAATCAGGCTTTCAGAAGGAGAAGACCAAGAAGTAGGGTTTGGAGGCCATGAAAGTATAAATACGAATAGCGTTTTAAACTCACCCATTGGAAGCGGAGCAGGGCTGAAGCCTCCCGTAACACCATTCCAAGCAAGGGGGGAAATGTGAGCTCGCAGTGCGCTAGCCTGGGCGAGGTGTTTCAATAGAGGACCGACAACGGGGCGGGCAGGGAGGGGAGGCGGGGGCAGGAAGCATTACACCAAATCTAGAGACTGTAACTCTGTAGTTTATGCTTTGACGAGGGAGAAAAAAGGCAATTTGGTGGAAGTGCAGGGAGGGGCTGGGACTGATCAAATTTTGAAAGTATTCGGTTAAAAAAATTTTTTTTAATTCTTTCTTTTTCTTTTCTCTTTCTTTCTCTCTTTTTTTTTTTTTTTTTAAAGAATGAGAAACCTCCCTAGAGCTGCTTTAAAAAATTTCTTCCTTCTTTCTTTAGCGTACACTTTGCCAGTCAGTCCTGCAAACAGGGCCTCCTCTGCATCAGCTGCTTGGCTGAAGCCAAGGCCAAATCACGCAGAGCCAGCACCAGGCTGTCATTTGGGAGGCGAGGTGGGAAGGGGTGGGTGCAGGCTGGGGAGATTCGTCTCCCCCGCCCCACTCCCGCCGCCAAACCTTTGGAGCCTTTTGCCAATATTTCAGAGGAATCAGAAGCCTAATTCCCCTCCATCTTCGCAGAAGCTACCAGTTCTGTACCTGAGAGAGAGTCGCTTTTCCCCCCGTCTGCCTGGAAGCTGAGGTTTTCTGTGCCAGGGGTTCTCATGCCGCCTCCAGAATCGAAAGGGAAGGGAGGGAAAGTGGGTGGGTAGAGGACTCTCTTAAAAATTTTTCTTCCCCCTTTTCTCTTTCATTTATTCTTTCTCTTTCTTTTTCTTTCTTTCTTTCTTTCTCTCTCCCTTCCTTTCTCTTTCCTTCCTTCCTTCTTTTTTTTCTTCTTTTATTCCAGCCTAAGCAAGGTAGATGGCTGGCTAGTCAAAGAGAATGACAAAGCAGCCCCTGTGAGGAAGGCATTGGAGGGGCCTCCAGCACTTAGTAAAAATGCTAAATATTTGGTATATATTTCCATATGCAACTAAAAACCGTTAAAGCTCCAGGCTCTTCCCCTGTCTCCCCCCCTCTTCCAAAATAGAATCATACCAGCAAGACAGCTAAATTATGCCTCCTTTACCTCTGCACAGGGTCTATTCAGCATCCCCACCCCCTATCTTCAAGACAACTTTTTTTTTTCTCACCTCTGGAGGTTCTTCTCAGGCACGATCGTCCGGTTCAGTTCAGGGTTTCTCCTTTCTCTCTCACTTTCCTTTTCCTCCCAGAAAAGCTAGTCCGTCATCAGCCTACCTTGCTTCTCTCTCTGTCTCAACCTCTCTCTCCCGTTTTCTTTTACTATTAAAAATAATAATAATAATGGCCCTTTCGACATAGCAGCATGAAGTGGCTGCCTTTGAGAAAGCACATTTAATCTTTGCTGGCTCCCCTAGGCTTCAGTGAAGAAGGAGAAGGCAAGAAAAAAAGGGAGAGAGAGAAAAAAAGATTGTAAGGGAGGCTGCTGACGGACAGCAAGCATCAGGCACAAATCAGCGACAAGTTGAATTTTCCTAGACCACACTGCCCCCTTTCTTCTCGGCTCTCTCCCTGGGCTCCTGGAAAGCCCGAGTGTCTGGTTACAGGAGGCAACGGGTCTCCTTTTGCCAACCATGGTGCAGATTCCTCGCATGCCTGCTTAAATCTCTGGCAGAATAAGGAATCAATATCCCCCTCTAATCACCTTTAGCTCCTCTACGGCTTCCCTCCTTTTCTGAGAATCCACTTGGCTCTCCCCGCAGCTCCCCCGCCCTGCCAGGCTCCTCCATACAAAGCTTGCGGTCCTGTCATTTCTCACTTCCTTCCATATCTTGGAGACAAGCCTCCCTTCTAATATCCTCTCGCGCTCACTCCCTCTCTCCGTTGTAGTGTCTCATCCTGACTCGCAGCCCCGGATGCACTAAGGCATCTCCCTGACTACTAATGAGACCAAAAATACACCAGCAGGTCAGGGGGAAGGCCAGACATTGTATTATACAAATACAGAAAAATCCTCAGCCTGCTAGATCCAGAGATCAGGTATCATGTTTTCTAGAAAGGAGAAAAAAAAAAAAAAAAAAAAAGGGAGGAAGGAGTGACGAAGAGAGACCACAGTGCAGTTCTCTGCCTAATTGTTCTGCACCCCACAGGCATTTAAAACACCTAAGCATGTTGGAGTGCAGGTGGTGCATTTTGTGAATCTTGGTGGGTTTTCTTTATGGACGGAAAGTCAACAGTGCCCAAATACTTCTTTGAAATCGGCATTTAGAGAGATAAAAGAGCAGTGATTCAAATCTATATTTAAAATACGCACGCTATTCAGGGGTGAGCTGACTACAATGCTAAAAATCTCTTTCCTTTCAATAGCAGGTTTTGCTCGCTGACTATATTTGCCGTATGTACTAATTTACCACTTACGTTCCCGTAGATTTCGAAATGAACTCATCAGTCACTGTAGCTCATCCTAACCCTTTACTTCCACTGCAGACGTTTTCCTTCTTTCTGAAGGAACTCAAATGTCCATCAGATACATACACACTCCATTGATCAGCCTAAAGCCCCTTGATAATGATAAGTAATCATTCAGACGACAAAAAAAAAGTGGCACAAGATAAAAATGAAAGACATCCTGAGTTGAGCAGGGGAGCGTCTCCCCTCATGTCTGTTGGCGTGCATTTTCAAAGCTCGGCTACACGTTGATCCTGGAAAACAGGTAGCTCCTGAAAATTGGGGTCTCTACCTATCTATACACACAGTGGGTATATCGCCATCTTCACCCGATTTTCCTGGCTAGAATCATGCAGACACCAGGCCGTGCTGTGTTAAGTATAAGGCTGCGTTCTGTAAATAGCAAGAAAGGGAGGGAGGTGTATGAGGATGCAGGTTTCCTCCAAGTCAATGTTTTTTAAAGGTAGCTTCTTTGTGCTCAGCTCAGACACTGTGCTTTGTCTCTCACTGTGAGACCTGCAGCACAGCTGGATGCCAAGGACAAGGAGAAGGAAAAGCACAAATGAGGAGACACAGAGAGAGGAAGAAGGGAAAGGAGAAGAGAAGAGAGGAGGGGAGGGGAGAGGAAGGGAAGGGACGGGAGCGGAGAACATATCCAGGCAAAAAGAGAAAGACTTACAATCATAGTGTTGGATTCCCTTTAATACTTTTTTTTTTTTTTTCCATTATTGGGAAGGAGAAAGAGATGGTTGGCAGTCTTGGTGACTGGGTTAGAATCTTTTTCAGATTTGGCTAATAGTGTGTTTGCACTAGACTGATGAGAAAAAAAGAAACATGCTAGAATAATCATAAAGGGTGGAGCTGTCAAAAAAAAAAAATCTTTGACTCATTGGGTGCCTCCCTGTAACGCCAAAATGAATCATTCCTAACCAGAATCACCAATTGTCTTAGTGAGCTTGCATATGAAGGCCAGATTATGGGAATCATGTCCTTTCACTCATCTTCAGAAAGGAAAGGTAAACAGAGGATGTAATTTCCCGAGACTCTCCTAAACCTCCCTACCTTCACAACAACAGTTTAGCATGATTTTCACATGCTAAGCTAATTTGCCCCTGTCTGTGTTCACTCTGCTTACAAAAATATACAAATATATGAGTTATGAAAGTTTTGCTATGAACACATCATTTTCTCTATACAACTCAGCGATGTCTTTGGAGGATACTTATTTCAAGCAGTTAACACCTGACCCCAATTTCTGTGGGTAATTAGTGAGCTAGATAACCACACAAAGTGGGTAATTATTTAGTACCCAAGGGTACGCTAGAAGTGGGTAGTGGTTTTGTTAACAAAAGCACATCTCTAATTATTGTATCTATGATGGGTGTTTTAAAAATACCAGTTACTATATCAAGTGAACCATGATAAATAAGTCAACTATTTTGCTGTCCTTAGCATATTATAGATGTATATTCCATCATGGTTAATAATAGTTACCTCTCTTGCATGGAGTGTTGTGAAGATTAATTAGTTAACATCTGTAAGACTCTCAGAGATGAAATGTGCTAGAGAGTTTCTACATACAGTATTATTATTGTTACTACTATCTTGGCTAGTAATCCCAGGATGAGAGAAGCTTAAGGAGTGGATGCAATAGTCTGGTCTCTGTCTTGGTCTGAAAAAATGCTGAGATTACAAAGGTAATGAATTTGATTGTGGGGACTGGTCTCCTATCTGCCCGAGTCTAAAACAGGTGGTAAGAGAATCAAAAGGTAAATGCGATTTCATTGGCAGCTGGCTCAGGATAGATCTGAGGAACCAGGGTAGGAGATGGGGAGAGGGAGGAGCAGACGGAAGGAGTCAGGGATGGGCCGGGAAGGAAGCTGAATCAGCCGGACCACACCCTCCTTCCAAAGTCCTTCTATCCTTCCCTTTGATGAGCAGCAAATATGCACAAAAATCCGCAAAGAAGACATCCCTGCAAGTGCCGGGACAAATTCATCATAATTACAATCAATCAGCCAGATATGTAGTATTTATTCTGGAGAAGAACAATCAGTACAAATTACTTTAACAAATGCAGATACATTTTAAAATATTACAGTGTTGAGAATAGGCACGCACAAATCAACTTCAGATATTTTTAACCCAAGATATGAACACCAATGAAGAAACACTTTCTAATTCAATTGCTTTTCTGAATCAGCCCCAAGATGGGAAGGGGATATTATTTATTTCTGCTGTGAAAGAAAGAAAAGAAAAAGAAAGGAAAGGAAAGGGGAAAAATAAAGAAAAGAAAGCCTCATGCTTTTAGGGGCCTTAATTCTGGAGAGCAACCAAGCCTTGAAAACAAACAACAACAAAAACTTACTGCTTCTTTCTCTGTCAATGTCCATCTCCTTGAGCCGGCTGTCTGGCGTCTGGCTGAAGCAGGACAGACAGAGGCTTCTGAGATCCAAATCTTCTAGGAGGCTCACCACATTTTTTCTTTCAAAGCAAGGTTGTCCTGGGGATTAACCCTAGGAGTCTGGGAGATGGGAAGCATGTGGGAAGGGTGAAGGGAAATATGCAAAGATATTGTATTCAGCCCCGTTTAGGATATCTAGGGAATAGGAGAGGAGAA